ATCACTCATTTCTTAAAGTAATAAATCCATTAATTGTTAGTAGAATATACAATGGAATAACGTGGTAGTAAACCACACGATTAAAGGGTAACGTAATAAAGCTTTAAATAAATGATTGAATGAGTTGATAATAGTTAATTGGTGGGTTAACTTGAAGACGAAGTTGTTGAAACGACTCGAGTAAATGCAACATATAACTGTACATACAAGCCATCCATTTATATCGTTCTCGCCCACTTTGAGCGAAGACTATTCGGTAGGATGTTGCTCACCATATCCTAGTCTGTAAAATTTACTACTTTGATTGTACACTTTGTAGTATCCATTTGCGTTTTAACTGCCGACATAAACTAGTATTTTGCGTTCACGAAGAAAGAAATACATAAACGTTTGAAGAGCTCCTTTCACTAAAAATTTCCCATCGTATCATTCAAAGAGAATCAATGGGGAAATACGCGATACAATAGAAAGAAAAAGCAGCTCAAGTCAAAATGCGTAAAATAAACGAATTTATTTACTGTTTTACAATCTACGTGCACTATTTTCAAGTAAATTTGTCCTTTATTCTAATTACAAGTTTTGCTATCAAGCGGGGTATGTCTATTATATTGGAATCTGTCAAAGATTCCAATATAATAAAAAATTTAAATCGTGAAACAACACATTGTTTTTTATTATTTTATAAGATAAGGAGCAAGCGAAGGCACGAAGAATATACTCATCAGAAGGTTTGTTTTTCCATGTGTTTCTTTTTTCTCTTTGATAAGGACGCCCCTGATACCTACAACTTACCGGCATATTTTTAAGTAGGTACATATTAGGGGGTTGTCGCTTATTCCAACGTTGGAGTCTCCGAAACTACTGTTGGCCACTACAATTTGCCATCATGGAAATGTTTTTATATTTTGAAGTATAATAGAGGGGTTCGTCACTTTGTCCAATGTTGGAGTCACCAAAACTACTGTTAAAACATCGCTACATTATGGCTGCTACTTACAGATCTATCATATATTACATACCTACAATTTGCCGTCAAAGAAACGTTTTTATATTTTTAAGTTTAAAGGGTTCGTCGCTTGATCCAACGTTGGAGTCTCCGAAACTACTGTTGCAATCCCAACACATTGTGGCCCCTACCCATGGATATATAATATTTTATGTGTATATCTACGATTTGTCGTCATGGAAACGTTTTTATATTCTTAAGTATAAGGGGTTCGTCGCTTGATCCAACGTTGGAGTCTCCAAAACTTCTATTGAAACACCAACGTATTATGGACACTACTGACAGATATATACAATCCATTAAATACCTAGCAAGGGTGTCATTACGTGTAAGGTAGCCATTGTAGAATCCAGGGCATACGACGACCTAGCTATGGGTTTTCATGCCTTTGATATCATAACAATTTTCTCACGTGTATGACGACAGGTATAAGAGTTATCTTGAAAGATATGACAAGTTTATAAACAATATATTTGAAACTCTGTTTTTTATTTTATATAAGGGTGTAATGATGCCTCTGCTTATGTTGACTAACTCCATCATTTTTGTAATATTCGGACAATTACTTCGGCTATTTTAATAGCCAGTAAATTATTAGTATTTTAAGGCTGTTATCATTGGTAGTTTATTTCGACGTACAACTGCACGTTTAGTTAAAGCGAAAATAAATTGACTTGTCCATAAATGATAGAGAAAGAACGGCTGTCATAATATTATGAGTAGATGAGATTTTGTTGTAGATTACCTGTCATCAACAGATGACGATTAATGTTAAGTGGTCATAAAATTATTAGTCAGTTGTATCTGCACGTACGTTAGCGCACTTAAAAGTACAAATTGCGAATGGAGATTTAACACAGTTTTCGTGACGTACGGTGACTTGGTTTATTACCCTTTTTCTTCACGTTTATGAGAACGACACAGTAACTCAAACTGGGTTGCAATTTTACCGTTTCAAATTTAAAGAACTTCGACTGTTACAAACATGAGCAAAAGTATCAAACAAAGGAACTGCGATAAAAATCAACGAAAATGCAGCGGCAATTAACAACTTAATAAATAATAAATTGTACGGTTGTCGATGGCCGACAGAAATTTATTAAAGTTATTTAAAGAACGATTACTAATACGTCTGGTTTTGTCTGATTTTGTTCTACTAATTAGATAATTAAATTTAATTGCGACTGGTCTGTGTAGCAACAAATCTTTAAAAAAGTCAGAGAAACAACATATTTATGGTGCACTAAATAAAAGCAGTAACGGCTGGTCCGTCGATTTTGCAGGAAAATGCACATTAAATTGTCATAAATGGCTTGTTTTTATAATTGTTCTATTGGAAATTACTAATAACTTTATTTATTTCGCGATTACTGTCTAGGAATTTCAAGGTTTGCAATTTCAAAGGATATTTACGACTTTTTCGTATGCAACTCAGTAAGTAAAATTGTTGATGACGTTTTTCATTTTTATTTAAATTTGTAAATAGAATTCTCTATTTAAATAAAAACAAAAATGCATTTTTTATAGAAAAGGACTATTCATTTTTTATACGAATACATCAATTTACTTTTCGGAGTAATTGAATAATCTGAAATAACGTAGTTTAACTTTACTAGGACTCCGACTAACTATACATACAGTAGAATCCGCTTATAATGACATCAAAGGGAAATGACAAACACGTCATACTAAGCTGGCGTTATACAAAGCATAGTCTTAGAAAATAAACAACTTTCTATTTCGGTTGGTTATTTAGTTTAATAGAGAGAAAAACTACCAATTGTACATATTTATTAACAGAATAAGAAAAAGAACGATGGATTGTAATATCGATGTACATAAGAAGGGTCAGAAAAATGAGCGAAAATATTATTAATCATTTGGGTCACTATAGCCGAATATAATTTCTTGAGAATCAGTCATAATAAACAATATGTCATTTTAAACAAAGTCATTATATCCCAACTTTCCTATAGATAATTTAATATGAAAAACGAACTTAACACTGAAATTACTTCAAATTAAGCGGTTGGTCAATATAAGCGGAGTCATAATAAACGAATTCCACTGTATTTTCATTACGTTTGTTACTTCACTAAACCGTGATCATGGTTGTAATCGCTCTTGTAAGCAGTAAACGAAGAGACTGATTTTAATAATTACTTATGCATCCTTTTAGTTAAGATGCACTTAATTCATTCCATCGGCATTTCAGGCACTTGTCAACTGCCACTGGATTTTCTATTTTCAGTTCCGATCGCTATCGCGTTCACAATTATCAGGTCTTTCGCCAGCATGTTGTTGTTTTCAATGAAGTTGTTGCATGTAAAGGCAAAGGAAAAATTTGACATGAAAAGTTCTTGTTCGCTGAACACTAGATTGATAACAGTTGACTAATGCATTATGTACTCATCTTACCAATTTTTATTCACATAACTAGACGATACAAAGCAACAGATTTAACTAGAGGAAATCAGACGTTTGCCATTTATTAACAGTTTGCAGAACTTAATTAAGTGTCAATACATGTGTCAAGATACTAACGATAAATGGAAAAGCTTAGTGTATTATTTCCTTCAAGACCTGTGCATAGTTGGCTTTCGCGACTTTGTCCACAATAAATGGAAAAGCTCAGTTTATTTTTTCCTTTAAAACCTCTGTGTAACTGACTTTCAGGACTTCGTCCGCATTAAATGGAAAAATTCAGTGTATTTTTTTCTTAAAAAATCCTTGCATAAATGGCTTTCAGGACTTCGTCCGTAATAAATGTAACAGCTCTGTGTATTTTTTCTTTTAAAACTTTGCTGATTTTCAATCTCATTCAATGTTTCCAAGATTTCAGTGTTTCGTCAGTGACTTAATAATAATATTCTGAATCAGGAAAATTATATTCTTCTTCTGGCGTACTGTTCAAAGCTAACAACTTCTAAAAATACTTTCATTTTCATATCATGAACAACTATTTTTAAATAATTCTAGATCGTACTGATTGATATTAAATATTAATGGATAATTTAATGAAGTTTATTTCGAACCTTGACGTTTATATTCGATTATTTATTCAATAAGGAATAAATAACTTGCTAATTAATTTCGTTAATGAAATCGATTTGTGTTTAAAAGTGCAACGGTCTGACACTGATGTCGATGGAGTTTTTTTTTATGAAAGCAAATGTTAGTTTATGTACAGTATACACCTATCAGACATCTGGCCTATTTCCCTGTGTGCATTCACTCTGATGGTTATTGTGTAATGATTTTGCCCTTGCAAATCCTTTACTGATTTCTTCAAATAGCTCAGCGAATTGTGATCGATTTCATGCTTAAATATCAATAATTGGAATCGTGATTTCCGGATGAAAACACATCATGAAACTCAAAATGGATAATAATAATTAAAGAAAGATTTCTTCTTGTGGTTCGTTTACGGAAAATAGTCATCATTAGCGTTGTTCTTTTGAAACAGTTATTTAAGATAGTCAGAGAAACAAGCCATCCTAACAGCCTAGCTGCCGTAAAACATAGAAGGAAACAACAAGAACATATTTAATTAGGACGGAATTTCTGAAACAATTCTTATTTATTAGGAAGTCGACTGAATCACATATTTTACTGAGGGTAACAACTGTACTTTATATAAACATACGTAAGTGTCTACTGTGTAACGCATCGTTGAATTCACAGCAATAAATTAAACATTATAACCTTTTGAGGTGATAAAAAGTTATGAATTAAAACTCGTCATGTGTGTGTTTACAAGTTTCAAAAAGAAAAAAACATTTTTTTTACAAATGAACTTTATTATTTTCATATTTGTCAAGTTCATTATGTATTCAGCTAAAATTTTTTTGATAATTTTAGTTGTTTTATAATCATGAATAATTCATTCAACAAGAAAATAAATGGGCACATAAAGCATTTTGAAATTTCTTACAAAGTTGTTAATTTTTATGAACGAGTAAAGTTTCTATTTGTGTTCGAAGTAGTCACCTACCTTGTTTACAATCGGTAGATATCTAGTTGAGTTGAACTCTTTTTTTTTCCACAGTTATGTTTTAATTATTCCACTTTCGTGATGATGTTCAGCGTGAGAATAGGTCACGATAAAATATTATGAACGAAAACATTTAAATTATGGAAATGGTCACGAATGATATCTAGATCAGAATGTCCAAATTTGAACTAAGGAAACGAGCGACGTTGCGATATGTCCAATTGTACGTATTGTCTTCAAGAAATGGTCACTCGCGTTCTGAAATGCAGCGAATTTGTGTACGTATCCGTGATGAATCAACGAAAAATATACGAAACTTTCGCGTAGATCGTTTGTTATTAGCGGTTGGTAAGCAACTGGCCCGGCGTACACTGTCAGCTAGGCTCTTGGCTCTTCACGCTTCACGAAGAGAAATCCATTGAAAGCTGCTGTCCTACCACCACTACTCTCTATACCTGCCTGGATGGACTTTACCTACATTAAAACAGTAGCTTTTATCTTTTCTTGGTAGCTTACGATCATAACACCTTTGCCGAGATCCTCTGTAATAGAGGAAGGAAGTCACATCGTGCGCACTAACTGTTTCTTTTTTGTATACGATATTTACTATTACGCGCAATGTACCTGGATTTTTTTCAAGTTTCTCCATAGCGCAATTGTAGAAACCTTTTGAATTGCATTTTTAGAGACGTATGAAGTAATAGTATGTAATAATGGTTAACTGACAAATTGTCCTTAATTACATACTGCATAATATTTAATTACTATTTTAGGTGTATTTGTGTGGGTGTCTGTGTGGTGTGTTCATTTCTTTGGCTTTTAACTCTTTCCTTTTCCAATATATACTCCACAGCCTGTTTGTTTCATTTACTTGAATATTTTCCACATTTTTCTAATATGACTGTTTTTTTACACAATCTACATTTCCTTTCTCCTTCTTTCTTCCAATATTCATTTGCTCTTGTTTTATTTCCTGTTGTAAGTCTTGCGTTAATTCCTAAATTCCGTTTATCCTTGATTTTGTCTTCCCTTAAATAGTGTCTCCGTTCTGACATGATTTGTCTATATTCCTTTCATTTCCAACTTGGTTTCTTATTTTCTCCATTGTCTATACATCCTTTCTATATCCTTTCGTTCTCTCCATGCGTAAATTTCAGAATCCTTTTACTTTCTACTAGTACTTCAAAAAGAAAAATTTTCTTTTTCCATTTTTCTCAGTGACGCTGATTTTCCTATTCATGGATATGTTTTTCTTGCTAGATGCTAACGTTCCATCGAAGGAATGGATTAGGTTTCCTTTGGGTGGGTTGAACTAAATTTAGGAGTATGTATCTCCAACAATCGAATATCATTGCTACTCTTTATTATGCCCTTTAACTATTCTAAAACTGCTATCGATTCCTGTTTTGTAGAAGTGTTGAAATATAATTCATACCTGATAATTCTGAAATTTCTTTCTAAATAAAAGTTAATAAAGAATTCCTCAAAACCTTGAATTTTGACTATCGATAAATACTTTCACTTCCGTGCACTTTTATTTATTTTTGTAATGCAACCGTCACTCATACTTTCTGTATGTAGTAAGTAAATATTGAATCCTCTTTAAATCAATTCTGAAGGTTGTTGTTAGACAAAAAATTGTTTTCTAAAACTGTATGCGTGAGATGATGTTTGTTCAAGTTTTGAAAAGAAAATGTGTTCGGTGGAGATGTCTACACATGTAGTAAACACAAAATGTTCTTCATTATGTGCTCGAGGCGGTTTTCTAGATAAACTCTCTTGTTGTAGCAAATAGGAAAAAAATATGAGTCATTCATATCAATCCCATTGTACAACTTGATTGAATAGACAGGTACAAGTTATACCGTTAGAACGACATGATAGCGTTCAATATATCTATAACAAAACGTGTTCTCAGAGAAGATCTGTCGATGTTTTTTCAGAAAAACATTAAAAATGGAAATGAGACCTACAGCAGCATTTTTTATGTATGTGCATAAAGTAGGTATATGTATACAAATATTCCATTGTCATAATAATACAAAATAGTTGTATTATATTAAATAATCACCAGGTGATTCTAACAAATATACCTAATTTATCTATTTTTTTTAATAAAAATTCTTGAAAAAACTTTTTACAACGACATTCAAACTGACACCTTTCCTACGATAGTATCAATGGATATTATCTAATGAAATCGAAAGCGTGTATCTTGCATGCTGTAAGTACCGTTAATCCTCTTATAAATAAACGGTTGGGTGCTTTTTATAGGTAGCTTAACCGTTCAACCTGTCGTTGAAATTAAAATCATGAAGATCGGTATCACATTGGAAAAAAAAATTGCGTTGCATCTAACACATGTCCCACACCATCCACCAGATTTTTTTTGCTGATAGGTGTGTAACATATGTTGACAACTGTTTGACTACATTACTAAGAAATGGACAGACAAATGGTATTGTGTCATCTTTTTTTATATTCATATGTGTACTCAAGAGGTATGAAGCAGTGTTCAGAATTTGAATTTTTTGCATTCTCTGGTTCATTCATATTACTACTTACTTATTAGCAACACAGTCGATGAGTTGGACACGAGATTTCAACTTCATTCGATCGGGCTGACCGCTGCCGACTTAATAGCAATAGGGGGGATATATACAGGGTAAAAGTGCCCTATTTTTGTTAATTTTGTCATGGAGATAGTGTTCAAATGTTTACAAAGATGTAGACTTCAGTCTACTCAAAAAGGGATAGAGGGCGGGGATGAAGTAGACAAAAATTAACGTTATTTTAATTATGATAGATTAATGAAAAAATAAGCAGTCTCTTCAATGATATTTTCGATTATTAAATTTGTATTCCTTTAGAGACGCTTGACTCTTCAAGGTAGCTTGTATAATTATAAGAGTTCATGGTAAACAATAAAAACACAATTGTATATACGTAGATAGTAGATTGTATAAACAATTAACCGCGCGTGATGATACGTAGACTTCATATTAAGAATCCTCTTATGATAAAATAATTGTGTTGTTTAACTTTAACTATCATGAATACGTACTTATATCCAAAATTACTTGTAAACAAAGAATAGGCAGTTAATTTGAAATCTACCATAACGAAGAAGTTTCATAAAAAAAGGGCGAAACGTCGGTGTAATTTGTTGTAATGATGTGTTTCTAGCCTCATTTTATCTTTTATTTTTATAACTAGTATATGGTATTAGGCGATTTTTGCTTTTTTCGAATGAGTGCAAGGGTTCGTCGCTTGACGCATCGTTGAACTCTCCACAGTTAGAACGTTTAAAAATGTATCTAAACGCTTTTGAAATGAAAGAATATCTAAACACAAAGTATATATTTAATTTACTTTATAATACATAGAGAAACTTACTTTTTGGGATGATAGCTTAAACTATGCGAGTGCTTAAGTGATTATTATTAACATTGAAATGTTCTTTTACAGTTGTTTGTTTAAAAAAGTTCTTATTATATTTTTTGTTTGAAATTGACATTTACAGGCACAAAGATTACTAGATAATAGGTTGTGACGTGAATCTGATATATTCCTGTGCTTCAGAATGTCTCAGATATTTTTACCAAATATTTACCTTCCACGTATTGAAACAACATTCATATGTATCTCTCGTATTTTTGTTACTTCCTGATAAAACTGTGAAACCTATAGATATGAGATGCTTTAAATATGTCGTTGTTGAATAATGTGTAAGATAAGAATATCAGTTTTAATCATCAACTATTTTTGAGGATTTCGGGGAAGAAATTTACACTGCAGTGCAATCTGTTTTGATTAAATCAAAGACAAAAATTGTCGTTTTCACTAGGATCAAACTTGGTATGGAACCAATTAATCTCTTGGTCTTTCCACTGAAGACAGGACAAAACAAAATCAGAGATAATAATAGGTTTTATTAAGTGTTTTTTTGGATTCCCGTATTTTAGATGTCGTTCATGTTTTCACTGATTACTTTACAGAATTAACACTGAAATGTCGACACGGGATGGAATTTACGTATTTCGACGTGAATGTAAAAGAAATTCAACATCAAAAACAAACATTGATTAAGGTCATCGTTTGAAAAATGAGAGTGCGTTTACTAAATGGTTGCGCAAAATTGTTGTTGGTGTCCTAAATGTGACCCCTTTTGGAATGTTGGTGCACAATAAATACAGATTTTCGATGATTAATTACGAAATTTATAAGGAAAGTAATATGCAAATGCATGAAGTGTGGCTAATAAAGTCCATTGTCTTGCGATTCGGTGTGTTACAAAAAGGCTTGATAGTATTAAAGGCGCGTTTATTGTGCAATAAATTTTATTTCGACTAATAATTGCCGTATACTAATACTTATTGAACTGGTATGTTATGAAGATTTTATAATCCGCTGATTATAGTCGATACAAAATCTGATCGAAATATAATTTGCATTAACCACTCAAGCACGACTTCGCTGTCAGGTACATGAAAGGTTCATACAAACAATGCTATTAACAAAACAAGTAACTCAGCTAATTAAAAGGAATGTTAGATTTATTATTTAATTTGTTGATTATCTTTATTGCTAATAATAATTTATGTATTAAAAGTAAAGAGCAAGGAAAGTTGTTAAATGGGTATTTTCAGCAGCAATTATTGATAAAATTTCTTAGCGTTTAGTATTACCACCACAACGAAACGTACACTCGCTGTAACTGGTATTACAGTAATTTATAATTTTTTACTGCAATTTACAAATATTTTACGATCTATAACTTTTCTTGCATTTTCAGTGGGCTCCCTATAAAATATTTGTAGTCTTAATATAAAATTATTATTTACATTTTCTGAAAAAGATGATTTAGTTTTTCCTCGCATTTTTGTACAAGTGACATCCTAATGAATGAATATTCTGATCTAATAGCGATGGAAACCTTTATTGTTACTCCAAAACCGAAGCAACGTTTCGACATAAATTGTGGGCTTTTTCAAGATAAATTTAGTTTCACAATGTTACAAGTACTGTTGTAAGTACTGAGTGCTGAATTTAAAAACCTACCTTGACAAAATCCACAGTTTAGAGCGAAACGACAGTTTTATTTTGGAGTAATAATAAGCGTTATCACATTGATTAGCTTAGATCATTCATTAATTATTGAACATTGAACAAGAGGAAGATATGGATTCTGAGCGTCGAAACAAATAGACGTTAATATGCATTATTATTTGTTGCATACAGCTGGCGCACCTTTGCAACACTTAATGGAAACTTTATAAAATCAATTTATTACGCCTCTGATTGTCTTATGCAGGTATTTGTAAACACTTAAAAATTACCCCTGAGGTAAATTTTTATTGATTAATAGATTCAAATGAATTTAATTCTTAATATAAGCTGTTGGCAC